CCATCACCATCCTAAAGAACTACAATCACTAGGGGGAAAGAAGGGTCATACAGGGAGCACACCACTAAATAAATAAATAAATAAATAAATAAATAAAACATTCTCAGGAGAAAGTCAAGATGGCTAGTCAACCCAAAGATCAGGCTATCCTGGCCATCATCGTCACTCCCAGATGACCGTTATCACTCAGGTGTCCCATGCTGACATCAGAAGAGGTGTTCACATGACCAGGAAGACGAAAAGCATCTCCTTCCTTCTTCTTAGTCATGAGGCCTTGGGTCTACATTATTTGAAGGACCATCTCTCTCTCTGTGTATGAGCTTGTGAAAAGTCTGCAATCATCTAGAGGGGTTGTTCTCTCTCATGTTGGTTTGGTGGGAACAAAGGAGAGGGCCATTTGGAAGAGGCAATGACAACATGGATGGTAAGGTGACAATTCAGCATAACCAATGCAGTTTTAGCCTGGTTGGGCTCTGACCCACCATTCCAGGTTTATGACAGTGTATGTGGCTTCCTCTAAGGTAAGTCTGCAGCATTTATGTACTTCTGGACCAATTTTAACTGGCCAGTGTATACATGGCATAGGTCTCCTGGCTCCAGAATGCCTTGGCCATGGCAATTGTAAGCCGGGATTCCTGACATCCAGATTTAAAATCCCAGGAGCCCTAGGAAAACTTAATGTCCTGCAGCTCCTTACATCTGGGATGTTCCTGCAACTATCAGCTCCTGAAGAACCAGGAAAAGGCCCCATCAGTAAACTTTGCAAGCAAGTGCACTTAATTTTAAAAATAGCATGCGGGGTTTGTTTGGTTTTTTTTCCTTTTATGCGTGTGCCCTCCCACAACATCGCCTTGAAAGCGACATCTAGGCTATAAAAGCCCATTTTGTCCTTTGGAAGATGGTGGGCGTTGAAGCTTTGGGCACCCTTGCTTAAGTGGTTGCCGGAACCACCGCCAAGAAGTATTTAAAAAGGAATTGACAATCTTTTAAAGCCAAGGCAAATGGTCTGGTTGTCGTGGCAATGCCCTTTCCCTTACCATTTCTTTCATTTCCTTTCTAAATGTCTTTTCTGTACAATTACTTTTCTTTCTTCCTTTTCCTCACCGACCACCGCCCCCTCCTTGGCCGATGCTTTCTTAGAGCCTCCGAGGTTAAGGTGCCTTTCACTCTTCACTTTAGACGCTCCTATTTCAGTTCCCGTCGGCAGGCCAAGTCAGCAGCTGTCCTGGATAGGGTGCATTTTGTTTTATTTACTAGAGGGGGTGGGCAGGCTTTGAGCCGGATAATTAAGAATTTGCTTTGAACAGAAGATGAGAGCCTTGGAGTTGCAAGCGAGCCAGCTGCCAGGGAGGAACCATCTTGCCAAAGGAGCAAGCAGGCAGTCCACCTAATAGGCAAGTCAGAAAGTTGCCAGAAGCCCCCGACGGCCAAGAAGAAGGGGGAAATGGCCCAACTCTGCTGTGAGACATTCAGGCCAGTGGCACATTCAGGCTCTAATTGGGACAAGAGCCACGTGGAGCTCCCTTGTCCCGTGCTGGGCTAGCCCTCACGATGGTGTTGCCAAACGTCTGCATAGAACAGCATGGTGTCTCTGTGCATGGCTTTTATCGAGTCCCGCACAGCTTGGAAAGCACTAACAGGACAGCAGGATGCTAGAACTTGGAACATGTCTACCATGCACTGGGGGCCACAGCACCTGGAGGAGTTTGAGAAACTACATCAAAAAAGTCACTTTTCCAAGCTCTAGGTCCAAAATATGGAAAGTGTCTGGATTACATCTTGATTTAGATACCGTGACTTCCTTTCCTTCGTGTAATCTGCAATCTGTACTACCATCACCATCCTAAAGAACTACAATCACTAGCTTTACTACCATCACCATCCTAAAGAACTACAATCACTAGGGGGAAAGAAGGGTCATACAGGGAGCACACCACCACCCTGCTGTGTCAGCTCCACTGGCTGCCGGTTCAGTTCCGAGCACAATTCAAGGTGCTGGTTTTGACCTACAAAACCCTGTACGGTTCCGGTCCAGTGTATCTGTCCGAACGTATCTCCCTCTACGTCCCACCCCGGAGTCTGAGATCATCTGGGGAGGCCCTGCTCTTGACCCCACCGCTGTCACAAGTGAGGTTGGTGGGGACGAGGAGCAGGGCCTTCTCAGTGGTGGCCCCTCACCTGTGGAACTCACTCCCGGGGGAAATTAGGGCATCAACATCCCTCCTCTCCTTCAGGAGGAAATTAAAGACGTGGTTGTGGGACCAGGCCTTTGGGCAATCTGACAACTAGATAAGGACAATCAACCGACTAGGACTGACAGGACTGACAATGTGGAATTGCTATGACTATGAGATAGCGAACGCTGACCGTCTATGAGGAGTAATTGGGTTTGTATTGTTTTATTGGTTTTATTGGTTTTAGGGTTGTAATGCAGGAATTGTTGTTTAACTGTTTAACTGTTTAATTGATGTTATTTTGTTTTACTATTGTTATGTGATGCTGGCATCGAATTGTGCCTTTGTAAGCCGCCCTGAGTCCCCTTCGGGGCGAGAAGGGCGGGGTAGAAGTAACCAAAATAAATAAATAAATAATAAGGGTTATCACAGGCTCACTCTGGCTGTTTCCCTTCAATGTGAAGTATGAACACACAAGGAGTAGAGTGGAAAGAGCGTATTAGTTCCACTCTCCCTATTGTCCTCCGCATGAGGGACTCTCCTCATCTCCTGTATCTATGCCAACTTTCCTCATGAATATTCAACATGAGTTGAGGCTAAGGGCACACAGGATCCCTTTGAAAATTAAAAACTACAAATAAGGACATTACTAATGTTTTAACCCGAGAGAACACCTTTCTAGAAATTCTAGATCACACAACTATATGGTGAACTTTTTTTGGAAACTGACAATAAAATTGTACTAGAGGTACAGACTTCACAACCTCTGAGGATGCTTGCCATAGATGCAGGTGAAACATCAGGAGAGAATACTTCTAGAACATGGCCATATCACCCGAAAAACCTACAACAACCCAGTGATTCCGGCCATGAAAGCCTTCGACAATACATTGTACTGGAGGTGTTCTCTCTAGGGACCTTATCACATTAGGAAAAACTCTGTTTTTCACACTTTGAGAATTATTTCAAACTGGTCCCATCACATGACATTTGCCTCATCCCATCAGTAACCATCAGAATCCATCTGCAATGCATTGCAGAAACTGATAATTTGTAGATGGAATTCTAATAGTGTTTTTAAAAATAGTACAAATTCTTCTAGCTGAAGCGCTATTTTTGTGTGTGATAGGAAAATGTGTATGTATCCCATCAGCTCTAATACTTATTAAAAGGTTATAGAGTGGTGTAGGGGGTGTTTTGATTGGATTGGGAGGAGACAGCCTTCTGTGCTGTGATGAGTCAAAACTCAGCATTTTCAAATTATAAGAATCATAATAATCAGATGAGGCGAGGAGATTATGCACCCAGTCCTTAAAAAGTATGGGATGTATGGGATGAATACTGATATAAACAGGATTATATCTCAATGTGATAAGGTTCTAGGAGTCTCTAAGTCTTCAGGCTAGACTCTAGTCAACTTCCAGAGAAGCCACACCAGAAGACTTCCAAGAAAGATTCCAAGAAAGAACAGTTCAACTGAATCCATTGTTGTATGTCAGTCTCTTCAGCCTGTGATTGTGTCTGATGTTAATGTTGATGTTCATGATGGGAATGGGAATGATGTTCCTACAAGAAAGGAGATTCCATCTGAACATGAGGAAGAACTTCCTGACTGTGAGAGCCGTTCAGCAGTGGAACTCTCTGCCCCGGAGTGTGGTGAAGGCTCCTTCTTTGGAAGCTTTTAAACAGTGGCTGGATGGCCATCTGTCAGGGGTGATTTGAATGCAATATTCCTGCTTCTTGGCAGGGGGTTAGACTGGATGGCCCATGAGGTCTCTTCCAACTCTAAGATTCTATGATTCCTGATGGTGGGCTTGGGTCTCTTGGCATAGGGGATGAGGGTTTGCTTAGGCCTGAGTTAAGCTTGGACAAGAGGCCCAAGCTGTGTCAGGAAGATTCACAAGGCCACATTCTTGGGAAAGGCCCTTCACAGCTTTTCTCAGAACAATTGTCTGAAGATGATTCGTCAGGTGCAGAAGTTAATGAGAGAGAAGATAATGAAAGCTTGGACAGAAAGCAAAGTTTTAGTAAACAGAGACAAAAATCTTCAGAGACTGAGAAGATCAGTTGTCTACAACAAAAGAGAGATAACAAACCGTTATCTGGTGGGAAGGTCAAGAGAAATGCTTTCCTTTCAGTTTTGGGATCTGAAAAAGCTTTAGAATGATTCATGGGAGAGAGTTGCCTCAATAGAGTCAACATTATTTTATCACAGTCTTGCTTTCAAGTGCTCTCAATTTCATGTACCAAGTTTTTCCAAGTTTAAGATTTGTCTGTGAGATTTTCCTGCTGTCATGTTTCATGGATTCCAGTGCCTAGTTTCATGGATCTTAATGTACTCATGGATCCTGTTTTTCCTTGAAGCTTATTGACTAATTTATGTATTGGACTTTTTCTGGTTTTGTTATTTTTAACTGCTTTGCCTCCATATAATCTTCAATAAACTGCTTGCTGATTTTACCAAGCTGGTGTAGTGTTTAAGGTCAGAGGTGTTCCTGCTGTGGTGTATGACATCGATGAATAATCAAATCCACAAAAATCAAACCTGCAAATGTGGACTGTAGAAAGATGCAGACTACAATGGCTATTTTGATGATATCAATAGATAAAGAGTTCGCTTTCAGCTAAACAGGTTGAAAAAGTCTGCCTGCAAAACTGGTTGAAGGCCAGACTATATATACTAAAGTATTCCACCCCAATCTCTTTGGCTCTGAGAGTGTTGAATCATAAGAGCTGGTTTCCAGGGGAGCAGGGGGAAGGCAACATGTCAGGAAAACATCAACACTGATCTATGCAGAAGAAGAAAATGAAGAAGAAAGTACTTACGCCATAATGATAACACAAAAATCCAGCCAGTTCCATGGATCTCGAAGGAAGGTGAATTCTGTCATACAAAACCCTCTTGCCAAGATTTTTATCATTGATTCAAATGTGTAAATGCCAGTGAACGTATACCTGCAAAGGGTTGAAGATCCAAGAATAAACGACAGCATTAGAAGTTGGCAGAGAATAGGAGAAAACTATGAATGTGTAGCTGCTCATTCATCAGCTGGCAAGAAGTGGAAGTTTTCCATGTATGAAATGGCCACTGGAAGGTCCAATGGATACAAGGCTTTTGTTTAAATTGGTGCATTTTTAAAGCCGGCAGATTTAGACCAGATCTCTACAAAATCTGTGGATAATATTAACTTTAAAACTAGTAAATTGACCCTCTTCAATGTAGTGTTCATGCCCAACCTGTCATTCCTGCTACTCATCCAAAATTTCTGGACTGCAGGCTAAACCTTTTTATTCAGGCAGGCTTTTAACAAAGGAAGTATTTAAGATCAAGTTGGGGGTGATGTGGTATTAGATCTGAATAGGCTTTTAGCCAGATTTTAAGGAGTTTGACTGTTTATTTTTAATATTAATATTTAATTCTATTTTAATGTGTGTATATTTTAGGTTTCAGATTTAATTGATTTGGTTTTACTGTAAGTCACTTTGTAGAGAGAGAAAGCAGAGTATAAATAAACATAAACATCATCATCATCATCATCATCATCATCATCATCATAAAAGGCCCCCTTACTCGGATCTGCACATATTATTCGCCAATGCACCAAACAGTCCTAGACACTTGGGAAGTATCTGACGTGCACTCCAGCACAGAAGCCAGCATAGTGATCTTGTTTGCTGTGTACTAATTTTGTTGTGTACCAAATAATAATAATAATAATAATAATAATAATAATAATAATAATAATAATAAATGTAACCTATTTTGACTACAAAAATGGTGCAAGAACTGGCCTTTGGTGTTCCTGAACATACCCACTCTGATTTAAATCACTTGATCTTGCCTCAAAACACAGCACTTTCCAATGGACACAGTTCATGCATGCACCTACAACACTGATGTACATGCATGCAAAATAATAGTTTCAGAGATTACTTCTGAGATTGGATGCATTTACAGGGCAAAGTAACATGTGCCATATCCTATTCTCATTCTTACAAACCAAATTCCATACATACACCAGAGTCACCAGAATTATGTTTGTTGTGTATAAGGCATCAAATTGTTGCCTTTGTAAGGCAGCTCTGAGTCTCCTTCGAAGTTGAGAAGGGCAGGCTATAAATACTGTAAATAATAATAATAATAATAATAATAATAATAATAATAATAATGTCAAGGGTTCCCTTTGTATCCAAACCCCTCTTCTAGAGGACCATTTTCTAACAGGTGTCGGTTTTGTGGGAAATTGTGATGGTTATAGAGAACTTTGATATCACACCTATATGGAGATAGCCAACTTCCTTCATCACACCTGTCATGTATTTTATACTGTACATTCAGTGATTAGTCACTTGAAAAAATTTCATTCAAGGAAATCCATGTTGTACCCTTCAGTTCAACCTCTTGCCATGCAAGAATACACAATCAAGCACTATGACACTGTTTCTGTAAACTTTCTAAACCAGGCATGGGCAAACTTTGGCCCTCCAGCTATTTTGGACTTCAACATCCACAATTCCCAACAGCCAGCTGTTAGGAATTGTGGGAGTTGAAGTCCAAAACATCTTGGGGGGGGGGCTGAAGTCTGTCCATGCCTCTTCCAAAAAGATTTATGAAAGGTTTTTACTGTGGTCTTTTTTCGATTTCAAAAGGAGAAGGTGTGCAAAATAATGTCTTCTCCAAATCTAACAATTGCAGAGGGAATTCCTTTCTCTTTAAAACTTTCTTTCATGTCCTACTCCTCCTTTTGCTCCTACTGGCAAATAAAAGCCCCCTATACTACACTCTCCCATCCCAGGCATCCATTTATGGGCTGCGTCATTCCCTGGGATGTTGATGCAGCAGTGGTACAGCAGCTAGCCAAGTGGGCTACTGCATAGCAGCTTTCGATCCACTACTAGTCAACTTTGCACATATTTTTACAGCCCTATAATATAAAGTCAGTGCTGTGCTTTGTGTTAATTCAAAGTACTACCAAAGAACAGTCTCCTCTAACCTGGTATCCTCCAAATGTTTTGCAACCCAAAAACATGGCCATGGATCAGAGATGGGAGAAGTTGCATTCAAAATGTTTGAAGGACACCATAGTTGGGGAAAAATATTCCCAAGCAATAGCTTTCAGGTTTTAGTTTACTAGATGTTTTGGACATCTTTCCCAAATCTGTGCTCAGTGATGATGCTGGAGCTTCTGAGTGTTGAGATTCAACATTTTAAGGGGAGGGAGATATTGAAACGCGTCTATTTGGAAGTTCAAGATTATGAGTTGTAGAATGTCCTTCTCTTCTGAGCAGGTAAAGAACCCTGCCAGAATTTTCCTCTAAATCTCTGCTTTCTTGACTGCTCTGGATGCTCTTTTGCACAAAGAGAGTTGTATTTTTCTTATCTAGAATGGCACCGTATTTTGCAAGGAGTTCTAAAATGCAAAACCCCAACAAGACAAGGCTGACATTCACTGGCTGTATCTTGAATCCACAGAATCAGACAGCTGGAAGGGCTGTCAAAGGGACCACTGCATCTTTCTCCCTGAGGGACGAGCTTGACGTCCCAGAGAAAATCTAAAACAGCAGAGAGACAGAATTCCTAAAAATCCAACCTCATACGCTTGTAACAGAGTAATGCAAAGGTCCCTTCCTGAACTCCAAAACAGGTGTGAGGAAGGTATCATAAAGCCAGTCTTCACAAATCAAGCTTTCTCCAAGTCAGCCATCCTGACATAAAAATCCTGCTATTAATAGGGTTAACATTTCAAAGTGATGGTGGAGGGGAGAAGCGTGTCATCCTTCCTTCCAGCAGCACTGTCACCCCTCCTGGAAGTTGCACCCTTCATGTTCTACAAAATCCTGACTCAAAGCAGGGCATTTTGTCATCTTTTCCTCCGGCGCCAGCCACCAGGAGCAGATGGCTGTGTTTATCATCTGTCAGTCAAAAATAAAAAGTGTGCTCTGGTTGGCTCAATGAGCCACGTTAATTGTTTAATGCACTGCACTTAGATTAAGCTTTTGCATCTGGTATCCATTTCCACGAGGAAGAACTTCCAGAAGTGCAAGCTTTGCTGTACTTCACTAGGGAAAGAAAAAGAGAGGGAACACTTGTAAAAAGATTTTTTTTTCACCAAAAAAAATAGTAGAAGAGGCCAATGAAAATTCCACATATATTCTAACAATGAGTTCAGAGAAGTTTAAAATATATTAAAAAGTCACTCTGTCCAAGTTCCATCGCACTTCCTTTGCTTGATTTGAAAATCCTTCTCCATGCCACCAGTCCAATCTGTTCCTTCTATAGAAGTTGTCTGAGAGGAAGGAAGACAGAGAGTAGGGGTAGCCCATTTTTTCTTTGGCTCCACCCACTATGAGCTTTGGCCCTGCCCACATCTGGAATGCAACCCTTCACTGATGACCTCCTAGAGGAGAAGAACCTTCCACCTTGGGGACAGAGTTAGCCCCACATACTCATGGATATCTGGTGCCACCCAGCATGGGAAGGGACTGTGAACGTGGGCATCCAAAACATCTGTAGACCAAAGATTGATCCTACTTCCCCACCATGGAGAATGTGTCATCCTGGTTCAGGGACTATCCCATATACTCATGCATAATTCTAGAAATTTTAGGAGGGAAAACTTGACCAAAAAGCCTGGGTTGACTTATCCATGGGCCAATATAAGTGAGGTGCCTTAACTCTTATCAAAAAGGGAACAATCTCCTTCTCTTGCAGAGTTGCAAAAGACAAGAGCTTAGGCCACCCGAGGATAACTTAGAAGAAACCCTGGTCCCCTCTATTCTCTATGGTACTAATACTGGGGTTTTTAATGTCTAAGTGGGGAAATGGCAGTAATAAACAGGGGTGGCTGGCCTCCTCAGGCAATACTGGTGTATTCCCCTCTCTGAGGAACAACCCTCAACGTTTCCATAGGTCAAACATAAATCCACAACTTTGATCCAAAACATACCCTTGACAGATACATGAAGTCAACTTATATATGAGTAATATATATTATTGGTATCTACACACTCAGAGATCCCATTTCCTCACTGGGAAGATGGGGAAACCCCTCTCTCTGTTTGAAAATAATTCCAGTTGGAACAAGTATGGAGAGAAGGCCTTCCATTAACTTTCCCAATTATAACACCTGTGGAGTTACCCATGGCTAACCTGTTTGATTAAGAAACCCTTGCCATGGCATGGACCATGTTAATAGAAGCAAAGCCAATTTATAGTAACTTTTGCTAGATGCTATGAAGCTAAAAGGAACTGATTACTTTGGACAACACTGACAAAGATATAGATATGAGAAATTTTGTTGTTTAATTTGCAGGTGACTCTTACATTTATGATAAAAGCACACATACAACATTGTGATAAATGCAAACAAAGGAGGTAGTACACATGTCAATAAATGTATTCAATCTCACCAAATATGTTCCATTTAGACAGACTCTAGAGCAGCGTTTCTCAAACTGGGGGTCGGAACCCCTGGGGAGGGTTCATGAGGGGTGTCAGAGGGGTTGCCAAAGACCATCAGAAAACACAGTATTTTTTGTTGGTCATGGAGGTTCTGTGTGGGAAGTTTGGCCCAATTCTATCATTGGTGGTGTTCAGAATGCTCTTTAGTTGCATGTGAACTATAAATCCCTGCAATTACAACTTCCAAATGATAAAATCACACACACACACACACCCAAAACCCACCAGTATTCAAATTTGGTCATATTGGGGATTTGTGCCAAATTTGGTCCAGTGAATGAAAATACATCCTACATATCAGATTATTTACATTATGATTCATAACAGTAGCAACATGACAGTTATGAAATAGCAAAGAAAAGAATGTTATGGTCGGGGGTCACCACTACATGATGAACTGTATTAAGGGGTCGCAGCCTTAGAAAGGTTGAGAAACACTGGACTAGAGACACAAAGAGAGAGAAAAGAGCAACAAAGATACTTACTCGATGTACTTATTCCAAGGAGGAAGTTCTGACCATGACATGAACACACAGTTGGTTAAAATAGTGCACATAATAAACATACTGAATAATGTGGGGAAAAACGAGTTAAGGAAAGAATTTCAAAAGAATTTTTAAAAAGAAATACATCTTTGAACTGTAACAACATCACACAATTCTTTCTTGTTTTGAGTGGAAATAAAAAGAAACCTGTAGCATCAGTAAACAATAATTCTAAAATCACAACAAAATAATACCACAAATAAATAGAGAAATTGTGCAGCTGCTGTGTTAAACTAGGCACAACAAAGGATGGCTTCTCTTAGCTTTAAAACAGTTATGGGAAATCCAGGCCCAGAGACTGAATGTGGCAGCTTGGGCTCTTTTCTCAGGCCCTCTCACCATCCTATCCTTCCTTCCTTCTCTCTTTCCTTCCTCCTTCCCTCCCTCCCATTCTTCCTTACCTCCCTCTTTCTCCCTCCCTCCTTCCTTCCCCTCTAATCATCATCATCATCATCATCATCATCATCATCATCATCATCATCTTTATTTATACCCCGCCACCATCTCCCCAGTGGGGACTCGGAGCGGCTTACATGGGGCCAAGCTCATATTACAGTGAAATAAAACCAAAAACATAGACAACCATTGTATCCTTCCTTCCCTCCTTCCTGCCTTCCCTTTTGCTTTTCCTTCCTTCTCTCTTTCCTCCCTCCTTCCCTCCCTCCCTTCCTTCTCTTTTTCCTTCCTCCTTTCTTCCTGGGGATGTTTATCTGGGAGAAGAGAAGGGTGAGAAGGAGCATGAGAACCATGTTTCAAGATTTAAAAGGATGTTCTATTGAGGAGGAGGAGGGCGAGGGGAAGCTGGCTTTTGTCTGCTCTGGAGACCAGGGCACAAGAGAGAAATGGGTTCAAATGGCAGGGAAAGAGATTCGACTGAATTTTTTTTAGAAAGAACTTCCTGGAGAGTGGCATAGGCTGTCTCAGAGCGTAGTGGATTGTCCTTCTCTGGAGGCTTTTCTGCAGATGTTGTCTATCAGGAGTGGTTTGGTTGTGCCTTCTTGCATGGCAGGGGGTTGGGCTAGATGGCCCTTAGGGGTCTCTTCCAGCTCTAGGATTCTATATCAGGAGTAGGCAATATGGGGTCTAATTAATACACTTTTTCTCTCCCGTCCACCATCTCATCCTGACCAAGGCCAACCCTTTTGGGTTCCAAATGTTTCCTTCTTTCCTTTACTTTCTGCCTGCAAAAGAGAAGAGGAAGGGGAGGAAAGGGCAGGGACAACCCCCTCCCTACTGGCCCACCCACCCCACTTTGGCCAACCATGCGGCCCCCAAGTTAGAAAGTTTGCACATGCTTACTTTAAAAGTAACATACTAAGCTCAGTGATTATTTTTCCTAAAATAATATTGTATGAAAAAAATTACACACACACCCCTTACCCCCTCGGGTACAATTGATAGAACGTCCTAAAAGTGGTTCATATTAAACAGAAGGAAAGGAGGAATCCAAAGAGAGGAGATTGTGAAGTCGCCAAGTTTAGCTCCTCTTAAAATACGCTTTGAAAAGGGCCCCCGTAGAATGGGAACACAGGTGCAAGGGTGCAAATTCAGCAAAAAAAGAAAAAAAAGAGAAGAAGTTAGTTTATGGCAACCAATGGAAAGAGAGACTGCACAAAGCCAGAATTCAAGGCACAAAAAGATTTGTTAAAAGAATGCTGTTTTTCTTTTTGACATGAATGCATGTATAGCTCAGGTATGGAAAATTTCAGCCCTTCAAGTGTTTTGGACTTCAACTCCCACAATTCCTAACAGCCTACTGGGCTGTTAGGAATTGTGGGAGTTGAAGTCCAAAACACCTGGAGGGTCAAAGTTTGTCCATGCCTAATGTAGATGCACCCGTGGAGATGGCTTTATGCTTTATTAGTACAGAGCCTTCCATTCACTTATTGAGAATGTGCTACATGTAGAATCCTAGAGTTGGAAAGGACCCCAAAGGCCATCTAGTCCTACCCCATTCTGCCTGCAGGAAGACCCAATCTAAGCCCTCCCGACAGATGGCCATCCAGCCTCTGTTTCAAAACCTTCAGAGAAGCACACTTCACCTCATGACAACACAGTCACATATTCCATTGTCAGACATCTCTTAACATCAAATTATTTTAAATAATACTTTAAATATCATCAAAATGAACACATAACAAACTGACATATACAACTAAATACAAGGTGTGGCAAACAACTTGCGTGTCCTGGGTGGTCCTATACCAGGCATGGGCAAACTTTGGTCCTCCAGATATTTTGGATTTCAACTGGTTGTTAGGAATAGTGGGAGTTAAAGTCAAAAACACCCAGAGGGCTAAAGTTTGCCCATGCCAGTTGTGGCTGGAGCACTAAACAAAAATGTTGTTTTTGTCTGCCTCACATTTTTGACTTTTGGCAATCTTTGAGTGAATTCATAATTTTGTGTTTTTGGCCAGATTTGTTCAGAAGGGCCCTTGCCTTCTTCTGAGGCTGAGAGAGTGTGCCTTTCCAAGGTCACTCAATTAGTTTCCATGGCTGAACAGGAATGCACTAGATCTCTGAAAGTTTCAGTTATTTTCTTTAAAGAGGAACAGAAGAAGTAGCACCCGCTTGTGTTCTTTTCGATTTCATATAAGATCTGCATTATACACCTGCCAAATGTGGACCGTCTACAGCAGGGGTCCACAAACTTTTTAAACAGAGGGCCAGGTCACAGTCCCTCAAACTGTTGGCGGGCCGAATTATAATTTGAAAAAAACACGAATTAATTCCTATGCACATTGCAAATACATTATTTGTAGTGCAAAAAAATTTAAAACAATACAATAATTAAAATTGAGAACAATTTTAACAAATGTAAACTTATTCATATTTCAATGGAAAGTGTGGGTCCGCTTTTGGCTGATGAGATAGGATTATTATTGTTATTGTGTGCTTTCAAGTAGTTTCGTACTTAGGTTGACCCAGAGCGAGGGCCGGGTAAATGACCTTGGAGGGCTGCATCCGGCCCCTGGGTCTTAGTTTGAGGACCCCTGGTCTACAGGCATCACACTCAACTCCTGGAATGATGCCATCAGTGTTACCTCCGGAAAATCCTTTGAATCCCTTGGGAAGACAGGCAGACACATGACAATGTGCTGGAAGAAGCAAAGACCACCAGCATTAAAGCGATGCTCCTATGCCATCAACTCCACTGGGCTGGTGAATGCCTGATCACCATATCCCAAAATAGTTACTATACTCCCAACTCAAGAACAGGAAACATAATATTGGTGGACGGGAAAAAAGATTTAAAGATGGGCTTAAAGCCAACCTTAAAAACTGTGGCATAGATATCGAGAACTGGGAAGCCCTGGCCCTTGGGTGCTCTAAGGGCCAGAGAGGTCAGCTGTGACCAGCAGTGTTGCAGAATTCGAAGAAGCAGAAATGGAGGGCAAAAGAGAGAAACATGCCAAGAAACGTGCCAAGAGGAAGGTGCGACAAGCCAACCCTGACCGGAACCACCTTCCACCTGGAAACCGATGTGCTCACTGTGGGAGAACATGTGGATCAAGAATAGGGCTCCACAGCCACCTAGGGACCCACGTTGGAGGACACTACAGTTGGAGGACAATCAGCCTCAGGTTATGAGGGATTGCCTAAGAAGAAATAACTTATTGCTTAGATTCAGTATCAACTTTTCATATGTTCTAAGTATACTGTACTTATTAATTAGTGTTAAGAAAATTACTAATTTGTTGTAGAAAGAGTTATATTTGGCCATCAGTTCATGTAGGGATTAATGTAAGTAAAAAATGACAAGATCCTACTCCAAAGAGTGAATAAGTTTAGACAATGGGAGGAACAGGGATGGGACTTTTGTAAAATGTGAATCTCCATAACCTTTTGGAAAAGCACTGGTCGCAGGAAAGGCATGATCTTGTTAGAGATCATAACCTTTTGGAAAGGCATTCATAACCATTTGGGAAAACCAGAAATTTTCCTGTGAAGAATTTAAAACTTGTCGAAGGCTTTCATGGCCAGAATCACTGGGTTGTTGTAGGTTTTTCCGGGCTATATGGCCATGTCCTAGAGGCATTTTCTCCTGACATTTCGCCTGCATCTATGGCAAGCATCCTCAGAGGTAGAGAGGCAAGCAACCCTCACTACCTCTGAGGATGCTTGCCATAGATGCAGGTGAAACGTCAGGAGAAAATGCCTTTAGAACATGGCCATATAGCCCGGAAAACCTACAACAACCCAATTTAAAACTTGCTTGAATCAACCTTCTTAGCGGTTTCTCAGCTGTTCAACTGACATGATATACCTAGATATCTCTTTGAACTGTTAGGGACAAAGATATGCCAATGAACAAAAAACACAGATTTAGCAGAGTTTCAGAAGTTGCCCAAAAAACATCTACTCTCCCTTAAAACATATTTGTTTTGCTCTCAAGAGACCAAAAATAAAGTAGACTTCTTTAAAAGTACAGTGTTTCCTCATTTATCGTGGAGGTTACGTTCCTTTACCTTTTAATGATGTGGAAGCCTGGGAGCTGTAGCTTTTCAAGGTCTTTGGTTTTCCCAAGAGTGCTGGTACCTCACTAAACTATACATCACAGGATTCCATAGCATTGAACCATGGCACGTACAGTGGTATCAAATTGCATGAATTCTACAGTGTGGATACACACTTGGACATCTTTCTGGAGTTCTCCATGCAGCACTAGGTCACAAGAAGCTCAAAAAATATTTACAGCTCTGGCATCCTGCTTAATTATTCTTGCAGCAAGGAAACAACATTTTGGACATTTTTTTAAAAAGTGTCCCTTTGAACATTAAAGTTTGGCCCCAGAAGAAAGATCCACGATCCATCTGAGAAGCATCCCTTCCAGACTAGTCATCAAAACAGCCCAAGTGTGATCCTTAAAACAAGATGGATTGCTGCTTCGGCCCCACGCGCACCATCAAAAGTCAACGCCGTTGCTAACTAGCCTAGTTATTCCCACCTGACAACTTAGAAACTAATAATTGGACTCCAGAGGGCAAATTTAAGGAGTTATTCAAAAACATATCCCACAACTGGGACCG